AAGAACCAGATAGGAAATACCAGTTGGTGAAAGACTTTCACACATTTTTAGAAACATAAAGAAAAGTATTGGGTAACTGACCTATCAGGGTTGAAGAAGTTACAGCTATCTGGAGAGGAATAGAAAAAACCAGCAGGCTAATTCACCTGCAAAACTCTTGAGATGCTAAAAGCTTAGAGCTTCACATTCCACAGAGTGTAGGGGTGAAACATACATTGAATTACATCACAATTACTTTATTTTCACAGGCCGTTTCCACACAAGCCAGGTGACACCTCCTAATGTGGAGGATAGTGATGAAACGTGCAGTAGCATCTATAAGGACAAGTGAAAATCCACATAGTGAACTACGAGGCCCTTTCGTCTCGCTGCTCCTTGGATGTCAACAGTCAGCGCACATCGTGACCTCATGAGTTTCCACTACTACACGCATAGCCTAAGTAGGAGGGTAAAAGAATTTTTTTAGAAGAATCTATATGACTAATAATACTGCCTGATATCCCACAAATTAAGCTCGAAAATGTACAAACACTGCCCATACATTGTGACATTCTAAATGACTTTTTTTTAAATTCCTTCAGCTTTAAACATAAGTGAAGCATTTCTGCTTTTAAGCAGGATGATAAGATTAGATAATGAGAAGACAGGTTAATATTAATAGAAACCTGTCTTCAGGCCAGGCGCAGTGGCTCAGGCCTGTAGTCCTAGCACTCTGGAAGACCAAGGCGGGAGGATTGCTTGAGCTCAGAAGTTCAAGACTAGCCTGAGCAAGAGTGAGATCCCATCTCTACCAAAGAAAAAGAAAGAAAAAAAAAAAAAGTACGCCTGTAGTCCCAGCTACCTGGGAGGCTGAGGCAGAAGGATTGCTTGGAGCCCAGGAGTTGGAGGTTGCAGTGAGCTATGAAAACAACGCCACTGCACTCTACCCAGAGTGACAGAGTGAGACTCTATCTCAACAACAACAACAAAAAACAATGCAACTGAACAACCTTCCTCACAACCTACCACCCCTTCTTAAAAAAAAAAAAAAAAATTAAAAAAGAAACCTGTCTTCAAATGAAAGCAAAGAGGGATTGCTAGTCTGTGCATTTTATTTTTTTTTTTTATTCTTGACTCAAAACCACCAGGTTTATTACATACCAATGGCGAGTGACATTCCTGATGTTCTTGACATTCACCACAAATG